TGGTAGATGTTTTGTAACAGTTGTAGTAGTTTTTTTTTGTTATAGTATTAGTTATAGTAATTTGTAGTAGTAATAGTTAGTAGTTTTAGTAGTAGTAGTAATTATATAAATCTAAATTAGCAGTTCTATTTCTAGTTGTGGTAGGGGAAATTTCTAATCATCATTCGCTCTATAAAAAGAAGAATACAACAAATTACACATATATAAGAAATAAGCAATTTTTTGTATATACATAATTTATATTATACAAATAATTTTTGTGTACAACAACAAAGAAAAAAAATATTTCATAAGATTAAAAATAAAACAAAAAATAGTAAAATCAAAATAAAATGAAAATAGTAAAAATCACATATATAGTACATGTAATACAACTTTACCACCTTTGTAATACAAAATCCAAGTCCTTGAATAAAATTCAGTTATTTTTTCGACATTTTAATTTTGACATATTAGGTTTGTTCGTTTACTCAATAATTTGTACAAATTTGTAAAAATTATTACAAAATGTTGTTCGTTTAGCCAAAAGTCCAGTAAAAGAGAGTGAATTGAGAGAGCAGATTTGACAGTTGTGTTACTGAGTATTTGCAAATTCTTACAAGGAAGAATTTACTCAGTAAGAATTTTCTTGTACCATCAGCTGATATTTAATCAGCTGTTTTGTTAAGTTTTGTAAACAAACAACAAAATTGTTCTTAAGCAAATTTGTATCATTAAATGGATGAAGAAAACGCAAGTATTTATAAACACCATCAATTTTCCTCTTTTTATACATTTTTCTAATAAAAATCAGCATTTTTGGTTTTCGCCATATTATTTGTTGTTTTAATCAGCTGTTTTGATGCAAATTTACTGGATGTTGTTGATGCCTTGAGAACGAAAATTTTGAATTAACTCTCTGCAAATTCTTACTAAGTAAATATTACTGGGAATGTAAACGAACGAACCTTTTATCATACCTGAGTAAAACGGCATATACATTAGAGCTTTTTAACGGGTTAACCTATTTTATGAAGATTTATTTGCATATATGCAAAGGAATTGACCATTGAACCCCACTGGGTTAATCCGGTTAAATGTAAACGTACTATAACTGTTAATCGATGTATTAAACACATTTGTTTTCTGTCATTAAAGGTTTAATACACTAATGCACAAAATAGTAAAATAGCGGTGATGGCTAAACATGTTTTCTCTTTTCCTCTCTTTTCGTCAGTCATTTTTGATGAGGACCTCTTGCGCTCTCACATACTTAATCTTAATATAATTCTGTTCAACTCTGATTTAATACCATGGCATAACTATACAAGGTAGTCTCATTTGAAAAATTGGCAAAGGCAACCCTTCCTAATATAGAATTCACATATCAATTTCAAATAAAATGAAAATTAAATTCTATAAAATGTTAGGCATGGCAATTGGCAAATTTTCAAAAAAGAAAAAAAAATATATCTATATTTTCTAAATCTCCACATTTGAGAACAATGTTGGAATTCATATAAGTTTTATAGGCAGGGAACATAAAAACATTAATAAATATAAATAATTCAAAAAATGTTTGCCACTGGACACAAGATTTGCATACATTTCAAAGAAGATATTTTCGTTTAAATTTTGAAAGCTGAATGTTGTCAAAGGCAAATTTATGAAAAAAAATGGAAGCATATGACTGCAGGAGACTACCTTGTATAGTTATGCCACGATTTGTATTCATGACCTATTTATAAGGTCTATCAGTCAAATCAAATTATTTCACCCAAGACTTATTAACAAGATCATTCGGGGAGATCTGCTGGATATCAGCTGCTTCTCACGTTTGCTGTCAAAATAATATTATTGTGAATAGACTTCATTCTGAAAACGCAAACAAAGTCCAATTTTTTGATAATAGACTTGAGAGAAAAAACAGTTGACTTTCTCTTGCTGGGTGACCTTATTAATAGATTTTGATTTCACTAGTGCTGTTATATTTAACGCTGTATATTTTTAATAAATCGGATAAAAACGTAAACAAAAATATTGAAAGTACGGTGTTGTTTCCATTACAATGACCATGCTTTCTGGTTGACCTGTTAATTGAGCCCATGGCACAATAATTAGGTAGTCCATTTAGCGCAGCTTATGTCTCAATTAACTGTCAAAGTGGGTAATTACTACTTGAATTCCATGTGCAGTGTTACCAACCATGTGAAATATTATAAGGAAAAATTTGACAGATGGTCGAGACAAAAACAAAGGTTTTTGTTTTGATGCATCACCTTATTATTGCATCATGATTGAGCCTAAGACCTTATTAAGAGACCTTGATGGAAACTTAAATAGAGTCTAAATTTGTTTAAAATTAAATTGAATAAGAAAAATAGCTATTTTTCGATTTCTGGGTAACTTACTAACAGTACATTTACATTGTACCGGATTTAGTTAACCCAGTAGGTTTTATTTGTCAATTTCATTGTAGATTTGTCAAATAAATCGTCATAAACTAGGTTAACCCAGTAAAAATTTCTTATGTACATGCCGTTTACTACGCCTTGGTAGATGCATGAGATTTAATACAAACCAAAAATAATATTTTTGTAGAAAAACTTCAGAATTTTTGGCAAATATGTTTATGAATATATTCGGAATTTTTAAATAGTATAAATTTTTTAAGATCAACTTCCAAGTTTGATGCCTACACCTTGTTATATGTACCTTATATTCTGTCAATAATAGATTTATGTACAAGCCTAAATAAGGCTCGAATTTATGTACGATCCTAAATAATTGAATCAGTCCGAACATGAATAACTTGAAGAAAAATCATGTAAATATAACATCAATAATGATTTCGATTTTGTCGCATCTTGTTTTTATATATTTTACCAAAACTTCTTAAAATAAAAAAGAAAAAAACCAAAAGAAACATTTTTTTAATTTTTTTTGTTTATTTTTTATTTAATTTTTATCATCATTATTATCTGTTTATTAAAGAAAAAGAAAACGTAACATAAGCATCATCATAATAATAATAAATCAAATACAATTTCAAAATTTTATTATTATTTATTAAGTGATATGACAAAAAAAATAATAATAAATTTAAATAATTAAGAAAAAAATATATATGTATATAAATTAAATAAAAAAATATATATATTGAAATATTTTGAAGATAAACACAAAATAGAAATGAATTAATTGGTATATTTGTATATATAAAATTTATTAAGTGGAGAGACAAAAAAATATATTTATATATGTGGTGGTGTGTAATGGTATAAGTACTTAAATAAGATTATTTAACAATTACTGAAAAAAACGAAATAAAAAACCGAGCTGAAACTATTTTGAAAAAAATTAATGGCATAACAAAAAAATATATATGAAGTAACTATTTTTTTAATTACTATTTCAAATGACTTCGTAGTTGTATTTTTTACATGACACAAAGACGGCAACCGTAATCGTATTCTTTTTAATTGGCATAGGGAAATGATGACCCGAATAATTGAAATTGTCAATGATATCTGACCGACCGGTTGCCTGGTTGGTGAACAAAATGGTGGAATTGGTATGTTTAAGCACAATTGGCAAATGTAGTTTTGAAGAACCGGCCATTATAGGACAAAATTCTTCGGTATGTGTGTGTGTGTTTTTTTTTTTCATACAAAATCCCAAAATGAAAAAAATAAATGGATAAAGTTGTAGGGCCGGATTAATACAAATATATTTAATTTCTGGTTTTATTGTTTCTTTAAATCACGCGCCTATATAACTTAACATAACCTAGCATTTTAGTGTTAAGATATTGCATTCCAAGGGTTACTCTTTTTTCTGTAACATTTTTGCAGTGCTGGGATTGAAGCTCTCTGTTTAAGAAAACATAACCAAACAGGATATACATATTCACATTGGTAGTAAAGGCTCCCACCCAAAAATATTCCCAGAGTTCATCACGATGTCAAGTAGCATTTTGGAACTATAATTGTCAGAGATATTTTTGTTTCTTTGTTTTTTGTTTCTTCTGTACTTTATAACAACTAACAAGCCAGTGTAAAATGGAACTCTTTTTAAAAGAGCCTTTTTAAAAATCATCGGTAAGGGGAGCTGGAGGTTGAGTTTTTATTTTTTTAGTTAGTTTTTGTATATTATTATACTAAGTCATACTTGTTTTTTAAGTTAATTATCAACTTTAGTGTTTTCTTGTTACTTATGCAAAATACTTTTGTTTTTCTCTTTTCATTACATGATTGTATCTTTGTTTTTAATATACATACATATGGAACAGAACAAAAAATAATAATAAATTTATTATTAAAAATACATCATAAAAATATATTGTGTTTATTTTGGTAAGTTTAGACCGTTTTGTTTGTTTTTTATTTTTGTTTATTAAATAATAAATTTTATTTCATTAATTTAATAGTATTAACATGTTGTAAATTAATGTACTTTTGCACTAATAACGTTTGTTCTTGTTGTTGTTTTTGTTTAGAAATGAACAAAGTTTGGAAATAACATGGCTTGCAGAGAACAGAGAATATTGCAAAGGAGAATTTGCGGAAATTTTCTCTTATATTAAATGAAATAGAAACGGAAAACATGGACAACAATTATAATTTGTAACTTATTTGATGAAATTTTCAACTAAAATTTAACTAATTTTTTCCGCTTATGTGTTTTAACTTATTTTTTATATATTAGTATCTTGTTTTTTTTTTACTTTACATACTTAAGTCGTTTTAAATTTATGTGTATATTGTCTGTTTTCTATAGTGTTTTTTTTTTTTTAATTTAAATTTAAATTAGTTTCATTTTTTAACTACTTTTGGCAGAAGAAAAGACAAAGAGACAACAAAGAAGAAATAAGTTGAGAAGACAACGGAAGAAGACACAAATAATGACTAATTTCTTTTTTTTGTGTTCGAAAATAAAGAGAAATGTATAAGGAAGTGTTTTTTCTTTAATAGTTGTTGTTGTTTAGGCTTTTTGTGTGTGTGTCTGTGTATGTTGGTTGTTTTTGATCTACAGAAACTTACTGATCCTGGGCATCTGTGTCATCATCTGCTACATTCTTGTTGCGTCTCTTCTCGTAAATCAAAATGATGGTACACAGTATCAACACCTCAGCACAGATACCCAAGAAAGGCCACAAAGCGGCAAATTTGCCTGAAAAAAAAGCGGAACGAACACAATAATATTATTATAACAAATAATAAAAACAAAATATTTCGATTTTTTCTTCGTTTCGTTTCTATCTTACCTTTTACACGTACAAAAGATGTATCACTAGCTTCTGGCACTTTAGCGTATTCGGTGGCGTCATTACGGCCAATACATTTGTATTCGCCTCTATCATCCAAACTGACATTTTCAATGGTTAAAATAGCATTTTGAATTTTATTATCATCGGCTCTTAACAAATAACGACCTGTGCTATTGTTGATGGTTAAATTACCTGGGGAGAGAGAGAGAAAAGCGACATAAATAAATACAATGTAATTCAAAACAATAAAAGAAATGAAATAAGCATACCAAAACTCCATGACAATTGTGGATTAGTACCAACAACAGTACATACAATTGACAATTTTTCACCCTCAACAACGCCAGAGTTTGAAGGCACTCTAACAGCAATTTTAGCTGGAACAATTAACAAAAAACAAATATTATTTGAATCTATTATAATATGTGCATATATATTTGTGTCGACACTTACCAACTACATTAAAATCTTTCCTTACATTATTGGCCACACATGAATAGAGGCCATCATCATGGACATCTGTTTTTTCAATGATGAACTTTCTTTCGGCCGCCAATATACGATAGCGACCCTCAAGTTCTTTAACTTTACTCACTTCTGTACCGTTTCTTTCCCTAAAAAATATATACGAAATGAAATATTAAAAACATGTAAAATATAACGTATTTAAAAAAAACATTTTTCAAATAATTATGCAATTTTGGAAATTGAGGAACAAAGCTTATGTTTTTATGGCTAATTCACAATATGCATAGATTGAGACATTCAAATGGTCAAGCGATATCTAGCGACAAGCTAATGTAAACGCGACATTGAATTCGAATTTACACCGAAGCCGATTTTATGATAAATCATAATTTTATCGTCATTTAAGTTGTCATTTGTCCTTTATTTATAAAAAAAGTACGAATTCCGTAAAATTGAGCGTACTATTATATAGAAAAATTGACTATTTATTATTTCAAAATAATCACACCTAAAACCACATGTATATTATAACTCTTTACCGGGACTAATTAGACATTTATTTTTATTTTGCAACAACAAATGCAAATGGTATCCCAAATAACCCGCCAACGTAAACTATTATAAATAAATGTAAATTGTTTTCTGTGTATCCAATTTACAATTAGGTATATCAACAAACAGCTGATTAAGTGACCTTATTAATTTGCCTAATCCTGTTTACAAATCCAGTGGATTAGATTTGACGTGCCAAGATCTATTAATACAGTCACCCATGGAAGTCAATTCATGGGTGACCTTGTCTTTTGGGTGACCTTATTAATAGATCTTTGTATCGAAGATTTGCTGATACTATTTCGAGTAGTAAAACTATTTTCTTTAAACAAAATCGTTCATAGTTTTTGTATATAAGCAAAATGAGTACCTTTTAATGGGCAGATGCCAAAAAGAATTTAAGCCGTGTTTCTTTTATTTGGCTTAGCAGGGGCAAATGATTGATACCAAGGTAGATATACAAGGTAACCGCATCGGCGAATTTCTACAATAAACATCCGTTGTTTATTTTGATATGTCAAAAATATTTTGCAAAACAAACAGATGACAAGATTTTTTACACATATGTAAAATCGTATCTAGTAATATTTCTCATGGTTGGCAACATGGCACATCGAATTGACAGTGAATCGAATAGTCAGCTGCGATAAATGGACTACATGATTGAACTTATAACAAGACCTATTTATAATGTCGTCAGTAAGATCATCTGTTTTCTCTCAAACCACATTCTTGTAAATTGACCCTATCATAACGTAAACAACATCGAAATGTGTTGACATTAAACTAAAGAAAATATATATTAGCAATGTTCCCCTAAGTTCCAAAAAATGCAAATATAGAATAACAGTTCCACAATTCCTATTTCTATATTTTTTATTAAATAATATACTCACCATGTTAATTCGTAATTTCCTTCCCCTGTAATTTCACAACTTAATACTAATGGAGCACGTATATCATAAACTTTTAACTGATGTTCGACATTATCATAATTTGGCACCAAAAATTCTTGCTCTGCAAAATTATAGAAATAAATAGAAAAAAAGAAGAAATTTATTAGTTTTATTCGTATACGTCAAATTTTTGCATTTTATTTAAGGAAAACAAACGAAAAAAAACGAGAAAAGGGAAAATGACAATTAAACTAAGCTCTACTTATATTTACACTTAAATGAATGTTAACAATAAAGGAAGAAAATGTAAAACGTAATTGGTTTTATATGTAGCTAAAATCACATAAAAATTGATAATAGATAAATAACGAAACTAAGCTTAAACTATGTTTATGATTAAAATGGATAAAAATATATACTAGAATTTATGAGCACTTATGAAAAAGAAAAATATATATGTTTAATAAAAACATAATAGCTTAAGAATAATATAAAATACTAAAATGAACTAGCTTAGAGAATTTAACTAGGAAGCCAAATAGTTGGAGAAGATACATTTTTATGTTGGTTTTTTTTAACAATTACAATTCGCTAATAGTTTATATTTAACTAAAAATAAAAAATACTGAATTGTAAAAATGTAATAAATTATGAATGATATTATATCGAAAATGTATAACTAATATATGTGTGTAGTTTTTATTATATGTAAAATTAATGAACAGTTTCTGCACATTGCCGGTAAAGACTTTTTATTAAGGAATTCATTAACGTTAAAAAAAATCAGCATGCCACTTGCCATATCAAAACATTAAAACATTTTTTTTTTTTTTGTCTCGATTATTTGTCAAATTTTTTCTTATATTTCAAAAATTTGGCAGCATTGCACATCGAATTCAAGTAAAATTTACCACTTTGACAGTTAATCAAGACATCAGCTGCTCCAAATGGACTACCTATTCATTGTGCCATGGGCGGAAACATGTTCTGTGCAAAAGTTCAAAGAAACAGCTGATTCTCTGTCAAGCTGTCAAAATGCGTTCTAATCAGAACTGATAGAAAAATGTACATTTGCATTTGTTAATTGTACCATTTTATTTATAAAACAAGCATGTTATAAAGGGATAAATTGTTCACTTTCACTTGATTGATATGCTATGATATTGACATTTAAAATCTATTGGATTTCATTAATCCAAATCATTACTATTTTTGTCCAAATTAAATGCTGATAAATTATTTGACATAAAAAATGATATCATAACCGCCATTTGATGTATGTCCAATGATAAATATCTTAATTTCCTGAATGGAGGATAAGTCTAGCTTTTGGGAGAATATAGAAAAAACAAAACAAATTGATTAAAGAAGAGCGGGGAGAAAGAAATATTTATTTTTTTGAATGTGTCTTCCATACAAAATTAGTCTTTACCAATTACTTATGAATATTTCTATATATGTATATGATGTATGTGTATGTATACGATTCTAAATAGTTCCCGCTTCTCTTCCCACTGTTCCTCTTTTCCGATATATTGTACCATGTCCAACTAGATATTTTCAAAACATTCTTAGCTTGCCAAATATACTCATATATTTTGTACATAAGTATATACACATATAAAAATGTATGATTGTACTATTTGGGAGGTTTTTTGTTTTTAGCAATACAACAAAAAATATATATGTTCGTATGTACGTACACAAGCACATATATTAGTTCTGTTTGATGATTAATATTAATTATGTCAAACAGAAATTAAAAAAAAGAGAAACTAACAAAAAATTACGTTGACAATTATGATGAGAGTGATATGACTGTGGGTTTTTTGGGCGTCGTCGTCGCCGTCATCGTCTTTGTTTAAATGGCATCAACTTGACAATGAAAATGGCTTTGATGGCTTCTTGTAATCATTTGTTTGTTTTTTTTTACATAGAATAAAAAAAAATAAAATAGAATGAAATAATTTATTTTTTAGTTAAAACTAATAACAAATAAATTTTTTTTACATTAAATGTATCTTATTCAACTTGGAGTGAAAATACAAAGATAATAAAACAAGACAATTAAACTATCTGGAGTTTATATTGGATTTGTAATTAAAAAAAAGAAACATGATTAAAAACAAAAATAGTTTAAGGATTAAACAAATATTCTGAAACAGTAGAAATATTATATATTCATATTAATGTTTTTATGTTCATACCAAACTGGGAAATATGATCTTTTTCATGTAATATTACATTAGAAAAAATTATTAAATTGAATAATTTTATAAACTTAGAATTTTTATTATAAACAAGTACATATTTGTTTGACGTCATAGCTTCGGACCAAAGACGTTCATTGTTCTGTTTGTGTCAAGATCTATTAATAAGATCACCCAGCTAGCGAAAGTCAGCTGTTTTCTCTCAAGTCTAATGTCAAAAATCTGGCTTTTGTTTACATTTTTATAATGGAAGTAATTCACAAAAAAGTCCTTTTTTATAGGCCTTGGTTTGTGTGTATTGAATTGAAATGACAACTCTGTACGTCTGTGATAACAGTATATATTGGACATTTGAAAAATGTCTGTCATAACATTGACCAAGAATGATTGATAACTAGTTAATTTTAAGTGACTAATTTTCTAACATTGTCTTTCGTATTTTTCACATTCTTATCTTTTTTATTGGAGATATAAAATAACATAGTCATGTTGACGTAGATAATATTTCTGACATAATAATATAACTCTAATTATGTCTACTACTAATTTTTTCTTAAAAGTGAATTGTAGCACTTAGGGTCATGGTACAAGAAGTTATGGCAACTGCTTGCCTATTGAAAATATATTAAAACTTGTAGATTCTTACAGAGCAGGTAGATTGCCAACAAATATTACAGTAATGCGTTTTAACAGTTTATCTCACAATCAGCTGGTCTTGGCTTATTTTTAACGTGTTACCTATTTGTTTACATTTTCATATTGTGAAAATTATATTCACAACAATGAGTTTGGCAGTTGATGTAATATCAGCTGGTCTTGTTATAGAACATGATGCAATAATAAGGTCATGTATCAAAACAATTGCCTTTGTTTTTGTCTCGACCATGTGTCAAAAATGTCCTTATAATATTTCACATAGTTGGCAATATTGCACATGGAATTCAAATAGAAATTACGCACTTTGACAGTTTATCGAGACATCAGCTGCTCTAAATAAACTACCTATTTATTGTGCCATATTATTGACTTTATATTTTAGTTTTGACCAAGACCTATTAATAAGGTCATTCAGACAGTCTGGCAGGATATCAACTGCCCCTCAAGTTTGCTGTCAAAATCCATTATTGTGAATTGATTTCCATTATGAAAACGTAAACAACGTCCCAATTTTTGGCATTAGAATTGAGAGCAGCTAACTTTCGCTTGCTATGTGACCTTATTAATAGAAAGTTATTGACATGTTTAGAAGTCTTCCGTTGTCAAGGCCTATTAATTAGGTCTTCCACTCAGACTAGCTGGATATCAGTTGCCTCTCAAGTTTGCTGTCAAAATCCATTATTGTGAATTGACTTCTATTATGACATAACGTCCAAAATGAAAATATATTTTTATGTTTTTTTAGAACTCAGGAAATTAATGGCATTTTACGACTAAACGATTAAGATATCGCTTGTATTGAATAGTCTAAAGCCGTATTCATGGCGTATATAAGGTCAAACCGAAAACCAATCGATATCACCGATATTGTGATATTTCACCATGAATATCTCTTACACACTCCGATTAAAGGTAGAATTAATTATGACATAAACACAATGCCATATAAATCAGCTGATCGAACGAAACCTATGGAAATCAATGTATTCCATAAATAGTGAAAGAAATTTATTATTTGTGGATGCAACAATATCAAAATCATATTCCCAACTCGATTTGAAAAGAAATTCTGACATTCCCATGGCATAACTATTCTTAATTTGGAATTCATATATCAATTTCAAATAAAATGAAAAATAAATACTATAAAATGTTGGCAAATTTTCAACAAATTAAAAAAAATCTAAAGCTCCACATTGTTCTCAAGATTTAAATAAGAATGTTGCAATTTATATTTACAGGTTTTATAGACAAGGAACTTAAAAATATTCAAAAATGTTTGCCACTGAACACAAGAATTGCGTACATTTCGAAGATATTTTCATTAAAATTTTGAAAGCTGAATGTTGTCAAAAGCAAATTTATGAACAAATTGGAAACATATGACTACCTTGTATAGTTATGCCATGGACATGCAATTAATTTTTGCGTTTTTTCGTAAAATTTTAAAAAATATGTCAAATAAACAAAATGTCTTTTTGCATTTGTTTGTTTTTATTTATTCTGACATTATAGCCCACAGGCTTTGATGACAAAAGATATCTTGTATAATTTTACCATAAGAACCAATTGGATTGATTTGGTTTAATTTTTGTACAAAACAAATCATTTTTAATCGATTTCGTTTAATTTTTGAATAACATGGTTATGGCGTTATGGCCATGTCACGTCTAATTGTACCTTAAGAAACGGTAGAATTTCCTTTGTTCTATTTGATAACAGGGTGATATGGAGAATTTTCTTTTATTGGTATAGGGTGATTTGTAATAAATTAATTTCTGGTAATTTTTTATCCTTAAATTAATGCAGAATATTCGGCAATTACGTAGTGTTCCTTCGTAGGTATTGCAAATATATTTCATGAAAAGTGATGCCAAATTTCCTTTCCTTTCTCCAAAATTACAATTTCTTCGCCTGTAGTACTCTACAAACTTCATTCACTAAAGATTTTAGGTTTATATTATAGTAACTATAAAACTTTTTAATTGATATATACAGTGGTGGTCACAGAATTAAAACATTTACTGTGGTAAACATTTTTTGATCAGCCCTCGATTCGTTTGAAGTATTTTTAAAATTTTTTTAATTCAGAACACTTCGATATACTGTACTTAAGAGATTTAGTGTGAAAATAGAAAATTATTGCATGCACTTTTTCCATAAATAACGGTTTTTATGAAAATACGTCGACTTTGAAGTGGCCATATAATTAAAACATTGTGTGAATTTTTACTTTACAGCATTTTTTGAAAAT